ATGCCCCGCGGCACCTGTGGGGACAAACACATGGAACGGAAAGGTGAGGGGGAAGGAAAAAAAAACCCTAAAAATAAATTTTTTTTTAAAAAAGAAAAATAATATTAAAAAAAGGAAAAAATAATAATTAAAAAAAAGGAAAACAAGTAAAAAAAATTATACTCATTAAAAACCAAAAAAAGTTCTGAAAATCGAAATCCTTCTCTAAGCACTAAATAACTAAATATCCATCAGCTGAACGATGCCTGCGTGCGGCACTGGGCCGGAGGCGGGGGGTGCGCGGACGGGGTGTCCAGCCTGAGCCCGCCCCGGGGGCGGTGATGGACCGGGGCGGGGGCCATGCGGTCCCGGTCCTTCTCCCCCACCAGACGGCCGCGCGTTCCGCCCCATCGCCGCTTGGAGCGGCCACTGGCCACGGCACCGGCCACCCTCGATCGCCGGGCCGCGGGCCGCGCAACCCTCCGGCGGTACACGCGCGTCCGCCAGTGTCCTGAGTGCAGCCGTGCGCTCACGGCTCTCTGCTGTCACGGGGTAGTTTTCCCTGCAGCTCCGTCCCTCCTCCCCAAAACTGCACCGAGAAGGGGCCGCACCGCAAAGCAGTTTCCCTACGTGCGGGACCACCGCATCCGGGACGCGCCCGCACAGCCCCGGCGCCGCCGGGCCTGGCACCGGGAGCTGGCACCGGCTCGGCCTGTGACACCGCGGCCGGTGACAGCCGCGTCCCCGTGTCCAGCGGGATGGACGTTCCCCCTGCCCACCATGCACTTAAGGGGGTGACCTTCAGCCCTGCCGGGGCCGGGACGCGGGGAAGGAGGACGCGGATGCGAGTCCACTACCCACCCCCCTTCCTCCGTGGAGTCGGCCACGGGGACGAGCCCCTGTTCCGGACACTCTCACAGCCGTGGGACTGCCCCGCGCGTGGGGCACAATGTGACGGTCCAGGGGAAGCGTGGGGCCAGCTGTGGAGCCCCGGCGGAAGGCGGCGATGGCCAGGGGACTGCCGAGCTCCCGGGCCCTTTCCCTTAGGCCTCCCCTGGCCCTTCAGAGCGCGCCGGAGGCCCGGCAAAACCGAAGAGGCTAATGAAAATTATCCAGCTACTCGGTATCCCCCTCTTCTTCCCGGGGACCGGGGTGTACGGGGACTTCGTGCAGCTGCGGGGCTGGGCCCCGGCCCCCGTGGCGTGTGCGGGCTATGCCCGGTGCGTGTTGGGGTTCCCCGGGCGGGAGCGGCAGTTGTTTGGGTCTGGGTGTATCTGCTCTCCGGTACCTGTGTGCAGGAGTTGCCTGTGTGCGTGTGACTCCGCTATGCCACACGTGTGCATCTGCTGTGTGTGGTTGTGCCAGGCCTACGTACAGGTGTGTCTGTGTGCCTGCTGGAATTGTGTCCACACGTCTGTCCTGCTTGTGTGTCTGTGCTGTGTGGTGTCTGCTGTGCGAGCGTGTCCAGAGGCTCCAGTGAGGTCAAGGGGGAAAAAAAGTGCAGGAGAAAAGGAGAATACCAGAGCACAGAGCAAAGGATGCGTGTCTGTATGTGCGGGTGTGTGTGTACACCCCGCAGAGTTGCTCAGTGCCTCCTGCCCACGGAGTAGTGGCGAGAAGGGGACCGAGGCTAAGTTGTCGGATATTTTGTTGGTTGTGTTGTACTCCTCAATTTTTGCCCCTTCTCCCCTTCTTTTCGCTTATTTATCTCCTCATTGTTTTTACTTTTCCCAGCCCAGGCGCATGGGCCTGGGGGGGCAGCGCACCCTTGTTGAGTGGCCCCGGCAGCCCCTGGGACACAGTCCCACCGCCCCCCGAGTGCGGAGCGGCCCCTTCCGGGGGGGCTCACGGCGGCGGAGCCGCGACACGGGCATTTCCCGCTGCCGAGCGCCTTCTCCGCGGGACTGGCAATGGCTTTTTGAAGGGAGAGCCTGTTTACCTTGACAGCCCTTCATGCTGCAGCCTGACCTTTCGCTCACACCGCCGGTGCGAGGGTCCCACGGCCCCCCTGAGGAAAACGGGACCCTGGGTAAGGGAGCGACCCCTCGCCCCGCTTTTTCCCTTTTCTGTCCGGGGCTGTTTGCTCGAGATAAGCAGGTGTAATAACGCTGTTGACAGACCCGGGATTTGGTGGCGGGGTGACTCCCTGACCCGCAGGTGTTTATTCTTTCCGACTCGTTAAAAAAGCGGCCGGTGGCGCGTTTACGGCAAATATTTGCCGTGCGTGCGGGAACGGTGGAAAACTGTCACCGGACACACAGTCCCGCGGCGGGGAGAGCTCTCCCCGCGGAGAGCAGCCCGTTTGTCGGGACCATCCCCTCTCCCAGTATCCCCATCCCGGAGTCCCCCGGGGGTGTGTGCGGGAGGGGGCGGGCGCTCCGCCGTGACGGGTGGGCGGCGGGGCCAGTGAGGGGCGAGGCCGCGGCGGTGCGGGGCCAATGGGAGCCGCCTGCGGGCCTTGAAGGGGCGCGCCCCGCGGAGCGCGGCCGCAGTGCCGCCCCCGCCGCCGGGAGACGCGGCCGGCCCGGGGCAGCCCAGTGGTCCCGCCCGCCCACGGCCGCCTCCCTCCTTCCCTCCCGCCGGCGCTCCTCATGGAAAAATCCAAAAATTTCCGCATCGACGCGCTGCTGGCTGTCGACCCCCCCAAGGCGGCGGCGGCGGGGCAGAGCGCGCCGCTGGCCCTGGTCACCTCGCTGGGAGGCAGCGGGAGCAGCAGCAGCGGGAGCGGCAGCCCGCCGTCCTCGTCTTCCTCGTCTTCCTCGTCGTCCTCTTCGTCCTCCTCCGAGCATCCCGCCGGCGGCCCCGCCGACTGCCTGCGCACCGACAGCCCGTCCCCGCCGCGGCTCCTGGCCGCGCACTGCGCGCTGGTCCCCAAGCCCGGGTTCCTGCCCGGGGCGGGCGCGGGAGCCCACCCGCACCACCACGCCTCGGCGGCCGGCATGGCCCTGGGACTGCACCCCGCGGCGCCCGGCGGGCCGGGAATGCCGGCGCAGGCGGCCCTGTACGGGCACCCCGTGTACGGGTACTCGGCGCTGGGCGGGCAGCACCCGGCGCTCTCCTACCCCTACTCGCAGGTGCAGGGAGCGCACCCCTCGCACCCCGCCGCCGACCCCATCAAGCTCAGCGCCGGCACCTTCCAGCTGGACCAGTGGCTCCGGGCCTCCACAGCCGGCATGATCCTGCCCAAGATGCCCGACTTCAACTGTGAGTATTCGCCTCCCTCCGCAGGGCAGCCGCGTCCCTTCCCTCCCCTGTCCCGCTGCGGGGGCCTATCGGCAGCTGCCTCCTTCCGAGAAGGGAGAAACCTCCTCCTGCCCCCGCCTAAATAAATTGCAGAGTTAAACCTGAGGCGATATTCTTATTTTTTGAAAATTTTTTATTAAAAAAAAAAGGAAAGAAATAGCGGTCCACAGTGGGAAACGGGGACGTGCGGTCACCTCTCTGTTCCCGGCCCTTGAGGAGCCCCGGGCAGCCCAGCCTCTCACGGCAGGTTAAACGGGAAGGTGGCAAATCTCTCCCTGTCTTTGCAAAACGCCCGTTCCGGAGGGTAAAAGCCGCTGGGGAGGGGAGGTGGGGGTGTTGTGTTCAGGGCAGGGGCAGGAATCCCCATGGTGTCCCCCAAAATCCCAATTTCAATGTAGTGCCCCCCCAAAAAGCGGGGTGGCAGGTCACATCGCTCACCCAGCGTTCTTAATTTTATTTATCCTTTATAGGAAACGGGCTTTTAATAATGATGTCGGGTCGTCTGGGTAGAGGGGTGTAGGGAGGATCTGGGGTCGGCCAAAAATGTGGGGTTCTGCGTTCCCTGGGGATAGCGAATGGACAAATATAATCGGAAGGGTGTAGGGTTGGGCCCAAGGAAGGCTGAGAGCGCTGAATGGAGCCAGGCGATCCCGGAGTCCCAGCAAAGCGCGGAGCTGAGCTCTAGGCCTCGCGGCGATGGGGACCTTGCATGCATCTGGTTTAAGCAAAGATCATTTTCGGAGGTGTGAGCTCTCGGTGGGAATGGCCGGTTTAACAATACCGGAGGTGTAGTTTTACGAAAATCATGCCAGGAAAAGAATTGCGATTTTTTTTTTCTCCCCCTTCTCCTACTCCGCACACACATTCTCAGACAAAAAAGTCCTTTGTTTTCGCTCGAATTGGGGTTGTTTAGACTGGAACATTCAGGAAGAAAAAATAATTAGGAGAGCTGTCAGAGCCCTGCCTCTCAAACAAGGGGCAGAGGGGAATAAATAACCGAGCGAAACGGGAATGGAGCCTCGAAAATCGCACGGCGGTGAGAAAATCTCCCGGGCGCTGCGGCCGGGAGCGGACACTGTCCTTTTCTTTCTGCCGCTTTAGCGAGCTGCCACCAACCGCGGCCGGGGAGCGGGAGCCACCCCTTCCCAGATTTCTGATTTTTCTAAACCAAATAAACCAGAGTAGCAAAAATACTTCCAGACATGGGTCGCAGCGCTGCCCCGGGGGTGTCCGAACCCCACGAAGGGGCTCAGTCCCCGTTTGCTCGCCGCTGGATTTTTTTTTTCTCATCTTTTATAAATCCTTAATTTTGCTTATTATTTTTGAACGTGGGAACTACGCCTTTTCCCCCCCCTCCCTTTCAAAGATAGTTTTCCACCCCTCGCTGCTGATTTACGCCCCGAGGGGCGGGCGGTGACCGGCACTTCCAGGGCGGTGTGGAGCAGGCCCCTGGCTCGGTCCGGGTCCCGGCCCGCCAGAGGGGTGCCTGCCTGCAATCCCGCTAATTAAACGGATATGGGCGGGCTGGGATTGCGGCAGGTTTAACTAAAACATTAAATGGAGCAAATTGCCGCTCCCTGGAGAGCCCAGTGCCCCTTCGCCGCGATCCCTGGCTTCGGTTTATTGTCTCGCGTTTGTTAGGCTCTTGGGAAATCAAGAGACATATTTTGCTTTATTTAAAAGATTTAATTTAATTTTTTTTTTTTTTTTTTTTTTTTGGTCCCTGTGGGGAATCCCCTGACACTATGAAAGCTGGAAAACCTCGGAGCCGGGGGACTTGGAGGCTGGAAGAAATCCCTGCCTCGGTCCATGCTCCGGTGGATAGCTGTCCCTCCTTGCTTCAGACACACACACACACAAGAGTCTTTCCTGCCTCCCCCACTTCCCACGGCCCTCCCGGGGGATGCGCGGGCACGGCAGGGCGGCTCCGCGCTCACCTCCGCGCTCTCCCCTGTCCTTTCCCAGCCCAGGCGCAGTCCAACCTGCTGGGGAAGTGCCGCCGGCCTCGCACGGCCTTCACCAGCCAGCAGCTGCTGGAGCTGGAGCACCAGTTCAAGCTCAACAAGTATCTCTCGCGGCCCAAGCGCTTCGAGGTGGCCACGTCGCTCATGCTGACCGAGACACAGGTGAGTTCCCGCGGCGAGGGGCGGGTGGGGGACGCTGCCCTCGGGGGTGGCGGATGAGGTGATGTGTGTGTGTGTCCCGTCTCCCGCAGGTGAAGATCTGGTTCCAGAACCGACGCATGAAGTGGAAGCGCAGCAAGAAGGCGAAGGAGCAGGCGGCGCAGGAGGCCGAGAAGCAGAAGGGGGGCGGAGGGGAGGACAAGGGGGATGAGGACCTGCTGCTCCCCGCCCCCGAGAAGAGCGGCGGGAGGAGGATGCGGGAACTGCCCGACAGCGAACCTGAGGACGAGGAAGAGGAGGAGGAGGAAGAGGAGGTGGCGGCGGCGGCCGGGAGGTGCTGCCCGTACCACTCCTCCGACTGCTCCGAGGCGGACGAGGAGGACACGCAGCCCCGGGGCCGGCACGGGGCCCCGTCGCAGTCCCAGTGAGCCCCCCCCGCACGCCCCGCTCCCTCCAGCCGTCCTTCCGTAGGGGAGTCCTGCCGCTCGTGGTTGGCACCGGCCCCGCTCTCTCCCTTGTTCCGATTTCTCCCTGCTTGGAGAGGGATGGAGAAGAGGATCCTCCGCATGCCGGGCGGGGAAGAGGATTTACGGTGAATACAGTGTTATTATTGACTGAAAAACAGACAAAACTTGAGCTCCCCACCCCCCATCCCTGCCCCCTGGAAGCTCGTTCCTTTCGCTAAGTATTGGAAGTGTTTTGTTCTTACTATATATCGGGAAAACTGTTTATGTCATGAACGTTAAAACTGCTGGAAATCTCAATACTGTCTTTATTTTTGTATATGGTATTTATAAAAAAAAAAATTACCTCTACTTATGCATGCTAAATTATTCCCTAGGCCCTCCCACCCTTGCGATGGGGTGGAAAATAAATGGCGTTTTGTACTAGCGGTGTATGAGCGCTGTGTGAGGGGGGGGAGATGCTCGGCCCTCTCGAGCCAGGGAATCCTGGTGTTCTGGGAGGTGCCGAAGCGCTCGGGAAGGAGCGGGGAACCCCTTTCTAACCCGAATTCAATCCAGTGTCTCAGCTGTCGTGTGATGCCTGACAGCGGCTTGGGGTTTTCCTGAGAGCAGCACACGGGAGATGCGTATCCCAGGCGGGCACCGTCGCGCGATGCTTTCGGGAATCCGGGAGAGCGGCGGGACCAATCTCCCCCCTCGCGGGAGCAGCGCTGTCTTCCAGGGGCTGCTCGACTTCCAAAAAACCGCGGGCCTCCGGCGGGTGGGAGGGGGCTCGGGGCCCCCGTGCCCTCCCCGGTACCGAGGACGGGACCCCCCACCGTCCTCGGCGGCGGAGAGCGGGGTTTTCGATAACTGCGGGGATTTATCTCACCAATAAATTTGCGGATCAATTAATCCCTGTCACCGCAGCTCTTCCCCAAATCAATTATAGCGAATTTAAATATAATCACTGGCTCATCCCCGCCAGCTCGGGGCCACGTCTGGCAATTCATCCCCGCGAATGAATTACGGGGCGGCTCCGCTCTGCTCCCGCCTAGGGCCGCGCAGGGGAGCGGAGGGACCCGGCCCCCTCATCCCGGGTGTCACCGCCTCGTGGGTCACCGCAGAGCCTCGGAGGCTGAGAACGAGGAGCTCTGAAACATGGAGCGTTCTCACTCTCATGTGTTTTTACAATTAATAATAATAATAATAAAAGGTATTTCCTACAAACGCATGTTAACCTTTCAAATGGAAACAGCGTGGCCCCTCTAAACGGCTTCTATAAAAATCCGGCCCGCGAAACACAGGCTAGTGGATGCATGAGATTATGGGATGAGATTCAGGAAGGAAAAGCTTCAGGTGGGGCGGCTGGAGGTGCCATTCAGGCATTAACGCGGTTAGTTACCAGCTCCCCGGCCCTGCACGCACAGCGCCCGGGGGCGACACGCCAAAAATCACGATAAATCATAAAACCGGATGGATCCCATGTGTCAAAATACTTGATCGGGATAAATTTGATTTGGGCTTGATCGATACGTACGCCCTTGGACGGAAACAATCACCTCGGAGTCTCTGATTTAAATTTGTAAACGATTTTCTTTCGGCCACAGGCTGTGAAGACTTTAGGGCGATAGAAGTATAAAGGCATAAATATCTCTGTGGTTTTCACGCCGCTTGCTGCGGCTGCATCTTCGCGGGTGAACAGCCTTGCAGGAGCGCGCAGTACCCGCGCCGGGCCGCGGTGGCTCCTCCACCCTAATCCCGGTGACACGTCCGAGTTACTGTCATCAGGATTTACCTCTTGCTCACACCTTGAAATGTCTAAACCGTATCAGTCTGGAGGACACATCGTTATCTTAAAAAATTATCAATAAATGAATTATAATGCATAGCGTGCATAATAATAATAATAATAACAAAAATAACAATAACAACAATAATTATTTTAATTATAATTAATAATTTTCAAGAGGTATCTGGGATCACCTCCCCGGAAAAAGATCTTCCCTCAGTCATTAGTTTCCAGTTAAATACCCACTAATTAAACTGGCAGATGTGCCCCATCGGAACAGAAGTTTTCTGTATGCCCAAGAGGTGTGTGTCCAAACGTGTCCCAGCCCCATGAAAACCAGCCTTGCGGGTACAGGCAGCTATTCACGGACTCGGTATCAAAGTCCTACCGGTGTATTGTGTCTGTCTCAATAAAATTAATCTCTTTAAAGCCCAGCGTCTCACAAGAATACCTTCAGTGTTCCAGACTACAAGGGCAAATATGTTTTTCAGATTCTGTTTTTATGGACGGATTAAAGTTTATTTTCCATAATAGGGCACCTAATAAAACTCATAAAGCTCTGTCAGTCTTACAGCTGGTGGCCTCATTTAACACTTTCACTTCGTAAATCATTTTACAACTTACCAGGTGTTTCCAAAACTGAAAGAAAAGGAGGGGGGAAGAGAGCAAGAGGGGGAAAGAGAAATTAAAGTCACTTAAAATATAGATACAGTCCTTTGGCGGTGCCTGCGTTTGCATTGTCGCTTGGACTGGCTTCAAAGAAGGTGTCGATCCCAACGGGGGAGAAAAGCCTTTTAATCAGGATTTCCCACGCTCTTTTGAAGTGCGGAGGCTCGTCCCCACGTGCAGGGCAATCAAAGGCTCAGGGTGATTAGCGGAGCCGGTAACATGCGCGACACGCGACACGCTCTGCGCCGCGCCCCGCCCGGCCCGGGGAAGCTCCGCGCCCGCCCCTCGAGCGCCCTGGGCCGGAGGGGTCTGTGCCGGAGGTGCCCCGGGGTTTGCCCAGCCTGTCAGCAGCAAAAGGGCCCGTTGTCACTCGCGCCCCAGGTCAGCCAGAGGCTGGAGACGGAAGGGATGCTCTCTCTGGCTGAGCATCGCTCGGAGTCCCCCTCTCACCCAGCTCCGGGGTGCCCTCCCATCCAGCCTCATCCCTCTGCTCCCGACCCCGGTATTCCTCACCCTGCCCCAGGGGCCTCGTAATTCCAGTTTACCTCCCCCCCCGCCCAAGTTCCCTGAAAAAAATATGGGGCCTCCCTGCACCCATGCCCAGGGTCTCCCACACCCAGGCCTGGGGTGCCCTGTTGGTGCTGGTGGGGTTGCAGTGCCTCGAGCCCCGGAGCAGGCAGGGCCAGCAAGGCTTTAATCTAAACCCCTGTTTGTAATTTCATTATTCTGCCGGTTCCCTCCCCCAGACACAGTAGGTAACAAGCCTCTTAAAACTTTCATTGCTGTACTTGAGAAGTGGTAAGTATGAACATGGACCTTTGGTAGGCATTTTACTTTAAAAAGCAACATGGTTTGGGCATGGATGTCATTAACTGGCAATTTCATAAGCATTAAGTGCTAAAACAAAAGAACCAAAATAGGATCCATATGTTCCAGGTAAACCTGCTAAAAGTCTTTCAAATGGGAAACCATAAATATATAATCTCCCTCAAACTCTCTGTGAAACTGCTGGGAATGAAATACTCCACTAGCAAAAAGATTATTGATTATTTCTGAAGCCTAAACTGTTATGCTCATCCAAAACTAAGGGATTAATGTTCTATTTCTCTATTTCTCAGTAAGACCCCATCCCACACTTCTTCATCCTCCTCTTACACCCCTTCCCTTTATGCTTGAGGGGCTGGACACAGCAGGGCCGTGGTGGGAGGGCTGCATTCTGCATCCCTGCTGCTCCCTGAGTGTGCTGCATCACTCCTGTGGATCCTTCCTGGCTCTGATTTCTGTTACAGCTCTGATTCCTTTGCTGGGGAGCTACACTAAGGCTTGGTTTCACCAGAGATGCCCCAGGATGGTGAATCTTGGTGTAGATTCCCTTTCTTTTCCAGCTTTCCCCTTGTGTGCTGCGGGTGCTGGGATAACCACGCCATGCTTCATTCTTTTTAATTCCTGAGCCACGCATTGCTCCTGTGATGTGCAGGGTGCTTCTTGGTCAGCTGTTTCAATTCCACGAACAGCAACACAGGACAAATAGTGAAAGGGATTAAGCTCCCAGGGGACCTTACTCTCCCTCAGGTGTTGTGTAGTGCCCAAATTACAGTCTTTCTGTCCCCAGAATGGTGGTTCAGGTTTGGCCAGAGTTAAATACCACCTGCACATTACTCTGGGAATTAACAACTGTGATACAGATCTTTCATTTTTCACTAATACTCATGCAACCAGAATAACATCAATGGTGAATTGGGGTTGCCCTACATTAGAAGAGGTGGTTTTGTGATTTCTGGGACTTTTGCATCATTTTTCTTGCCTTGAGGGTTGTGTAATATCTCCTCCAAACAGTCTTCTGCAAGGGTAGTGGACCCAGAAGGTATTTACTGTGTTTTTCTCCCTACTCTGAGGACTGAAATATTTTAATTTAGCTGAAGTCCTGGGTCAAAATGGAAGCACCTGCAATGGAAATGGGATCACCTACAACATGTAGGTCAGAGTGGTCTTTCTCTGATCACAAGATACTATAAAAATTTGGTTTTCATGTTTCTCTAGGAAAAGAAACAGGTTTTCCTGAGTTAGTTTAACTGGGACTGGTTTCTAAAATGAGTAAATGAGAATAAAAATGCCCTTTTCCTCTAGTAAAACCCAGCAGAGCCAGTGGTTTGCAATGAATTGTGTAGCTGCAAGGATTAGCTCCATTTTAATGCTTGCAGAAAGGACATTTGCAGGCAGATCACAATTTCCTCTAATTAATCCATTATTTTAAATTATTATTCACAGGACTTCTGTTAATGTTCTTGGCCAATGGTAGCTTTGGGCAGGTGGTACCCATGTCTGAGGAAGGAGCACAGATAGGCAATGCAGAAGCCTCTAATTCAGCTGCCTCCTCTCTTCCCGCTCAGAGGAGATGGGGACAAAGAATTCCTTTTCCCATCCAGCTCTGCTTGGCTGTGGGTACCATTTCCATAAATAATGATTAAAAAAAAAAGGCAACCAGCATGGATTTTAACGTGAGGCTGGAGCAGGGGAGCAATCTGAATTTAGAACAACATCTCAAGGCATGGGGCAGAGTGTCCATTGCTTGCTATCCCTGGATGCCCTTTCTGGAAAGTACGTGGAAGCCAAGCACAAGCCGCCTCCAGCGCTAATTTCTGCAGTGTAATAGCAGCTGGCAAAGCACAGGGGTCTGCGTAGACGATCTAATGATTCTTTCTGGACTTCAACATGATGAATCTATAAAGCATGTATTGCTGTAGCAGCTAGGTGCAATTTTAGAAATGTTAATGAGTAATTACACAAAGGTTGTCCACAGTCATCGATGTTAATCACTGTTCTTTTGCCAGGGATAATTAAGA